TGTCCGACACCTCAGGAGGGGGAAGCAGGGAACCATCCAAGCTGTGTACAGTAAGGATGGGACGTTGTTGACCTCAACTGATGGAGTGTTAGGGCGTTGGAAGGAACCCTTTGAGGAACTCCTGAACCCGACAACTCCGCCCTCTATGTTAGAGGCAGAGCTGGTGTATGACGGGGGATCAACACCAATCTCCCGGGGGGAGGTCACTGAGGTCGTCAAACAACTCCACAGTGGCAAAGCCCCGGGGGTGGATGAGATCCGCCCAGAAATGCTGAAGGCTCTGGGTGTTGAGGGACTGTCATGGTTGACACGTCTCATCAACATTGCGTGGAAGTCGGAAACAGTACCGAAGGAGTGGCAGACCGGGATGGTGGTTCCCCTTTTTAAAAAGGGGGATCAGAGGGTGTGTGCCAATTACAGAGGCATCACACTACTCAGCCTCCCCGGGAAAGTTTACTCTAAGGTACTCGAAAGGAGGGTCAGGCCGATTGTCGAACCTCAGATTGAGGAGGAACAATGCGGATTCCGTCCTGGTCGTGGAACGACGGATCAGCTTTTTACTCTCGCAAGGATCCTGGAGGGGGCCTGGGAGTACGCTTATCCGGTCTACATGTGTTTTGTAGACTTGGAGAAGGCGTATGACTGAGTTCCCAGGGAGTTACTGTGGGAGGTGCTGCGGGAGCATGGGGTGAGGGGGTCTCTACTCAGGGCCATCCAATCTCTGTACTCCCAAAGCGAGAGCTGTGTCCGGGTCCTCGGCAGTAAGTCGGACCCATTTCCGGTGAGGGTTGGCCTCCGCCAGGGCTGCGCTTTGTCACCAATCCTGTTTGTAAAATACATGGATCGGATTTCGAGGCATAGTCATGGGGGAGGGGGTCTGCAGTTCGGTGGACTAAGGATTGCACCACTGCTTTTTGCAGATGATGTGGTTCTAATGGCTTCATCGGTCTGCGACCTTCAGCACTCACTGGATCGGTTCGCAACCGAGTGTGAAGCGGCTGGGATGAGGATCAGCACCTCCAAATCTGAGGCCATGGTTCTCAGCAGGAAACCGATGGACTGTCCACTCCAAGTAGGGAATGTGTCCTTACCCCAAGTGAAGGAGTTCAAGTATCTCGGGGTCTTGTTCTCGAGTGAGGGAACAATGGAGCGTGAGATGGGCCGGAGAATCGGAGCAGCGGGAGCGGTACTGCAGTCGCTTTACCGCACCGTTGTGACGAAAAGGGAGCTGAGCCAGAAGGCAAAGCTCTCTGTCTGCCGGGCCATTTTTGTTCCTACCCTCACCTATGGTCATGAAGGATGGGTCATGACCGAAAGAACGAGATTCCGGATACAAGCGGCCGAGATGGGTTTTCTCCGCAGGGTGGCTGGTGTCTCCCTTAGGGATAAGGTGAGAAGTTCGGTCATCCGGGAGGGACTCGGAGTTGAGCCGCTCCTCCTTCGCGTCGAAAGGAGCCAGTTGAGGTGGTTTGGGCACCTAGTTAGGATGCCACCTGGGCGCCTCCCTAGGGAGGTGTTCCAGGCACGTCCAGCTGGGAAGAGACCAAGGGGTAGACCTAGGACCAGGTGGAGGGATTATATCTCTTCGCTGGCCTGGGAGCGCCTTGGGATCCCCCAGTCAGAGCTGGTTGATGTCGCCAGGGAAAAGAAAGTTTGGGGCTCTCTGCTGGAACTGCTACCCCCGCGACCCGACCACGGATAAGCGGGAGAAGATGGATGGATGGATAGATCCTATTAATATCTAATAATAAAAATAATGAATAACATGCTTTAACCACTAGGTGTCCCTTTATATCAGCTGTGCACCTTTATGGTGTAAATACAGCCTATCTACCAATTGGATCAAATATAAAAGTCAGCCGAATTAGTGTTGATACTGCAAGGAGACGTATTGTGTGAAAAGAAATGCAAGATGTTGTTTAACTACTGATATATTTATGATCCACGTCACGTATTCAGTGTTGGCGGCAGTTCCTCATGTTTGTCTAGAAGTCTTCTCATCAGGGCTCTATAAATAGAGAACTACGGCGGATATGTAATATTTAATGCAGCCGAACCGTGTATTACAATGCCGTTATGTGATGACTTTCAAAGAGAAAAGCAAGCACACTCGGAATCAAGTATTATTATTTTTTTTTTTAAATGTTTTCGGTCTGTTGACGATGTGCTGTGAGATGTGAGACTGGAATTGCACAGGGGAAAATAACGTATCTTTAGATGCGGATTTTGTTAAACTAATACGTTTGCGCTGTGGATCAACACTATACATTGACGGGGAAGGGGGTAGCAATAAAGATAACACCATTAAACAGTTACACAATATAACAGAAATAATATCGATAGCAGCGTCCCTAGCAACCACCTTGGTAACAATGAAAACGTTCTATGGACGTAATTTCCTGAAGTAATCTTCGTAATAACTAGCAAACTAAAGATCATGTACATCCACTGCACACATAATCTGAAATAACAACTCATATGTCTCGCATCAAATGACATCAAAACGCATTTTAATGGCCAAACTAACTTTAAAATAGGCATTTTCCACCGAGAATAAAACGAAGTTCGGCCATGTTTTTTTTTCTTTTTTGCAGGGCGAAATTTGAAGATCACGTGACATAGATGCCAGCCATTGGAATGAATGGTGAAAAAAAACGGGGTTTGTCAAACAGAGCACATGGTGTAGTCCTAAACGATAGCTGTGGATTCTGGTTAGTGTAGTGTCTTCTGCCATCCTTTACTCCGAAAAAATATTTGTTTCTCCGAATCGAAGGTGAAAAATACAAAAGCATTGCACACAATTTAAACCAATCAATGTTGTGTAATTAACAAGGATAATCTGGTGTTTTTTAGTCGATGAGTAGTGCAGATATCACTGTAAAATCAATCGACAGTAAGGGGAATACTTACTTCCGGGTGTACAATTCTCCGTTATCCAATGGGAATGGACGCTCACATTGCCTTTAAGGGCAGCCGACACAAACGAATGCCGTGCTTCCATGAGCGTCAAATCCCGCCGCAGATGGGAATACATTGTAATCAGTTGAAAGCTATTTGCGTCCCTTTATGAAGCTGAAGGAGCCTAGGAGCGTCACAACTGCACGCCACGGACACTGACCAAACGTCGCTCCTGGACGATTATGGAGTGAGAGTGTGTTGGATGATCACCACTTGCATTTTGAGAGATTTATTCAACAGTGAAACACCCATGACGTTTTCGGTCAGATTTAACCGCCATAGAAAATGAATGGGTATGAGTGTATTATGTTCATCCTGCAGATGGAAAACATCTATATACGCACACACACGTTACGGGAACTTCTTCCTTTCTCTCACTGTATGATACAATGTATCATACCTTCTCACAGGTGCGAGCTCTGTGCCCCTCGAGAAACACAAACCTCTCACTTTCTCGTGCTAAATGCGCCTTCCTTACTGGCTAGTTAGTTATATTTGTGCCTTGCTCACCTTTGACTCATTGACACAATGAGCAGGCGACCGACCGATTAGGCGGTTTTCTGTACGAGGGGCTCTGGACACATTTTTGAACCAGATGAAGAGGAGATTGAACCAGATGAAGAGGAGATAGAGGAAGATGTCTCAGAAATGGAAGACAACAGCGATCCAGACTATGAGCCTACAACAGACCAGGAAGAGGCACCTGAGGGAGAGGCCCCTGAGATAGAGGCCCCTGAGGGAGAGGCCCCTGAGATAGAGGCCCCTAAGGGAGAGGCCCCTGAGATAGAGGCCCCTGAGATAGAGGCCCCTGAGGGAGAGGAGGGAGAGGCCCCTGAGATAGAGGCCCCCGAGGGAGAGGAGCCTGAGGTGACATTCCACAATTTTGCATTGCCAACTATGTGCGTGAACACACGTGAACACACACACACATGTTCTGTTATGGTATATTTCTCTTTCAATAAATGTTCATTGAGGAAAACAGTATCAGTGTCTTATTTTTATATTCATCACAGTGAATGCGGAACTTGATGGGCCCACCGGTGGGTCTGGACCATGACATGAAACACTGGCTTGCTTGTATCAAATCAATACATCCCATACATCATTGGAACGGGAAGAATCTCTGCTACAACACTAACTAAATCATTTCCATCTCCAGTAAACACAGCCTACATGGCAAGCATCTTTATAATATACAGTAATGTAAAATAAGCACTATCTTTGAACTTACTGCCAAAAAGAATATGAAATTCACCCCTGGTGTCATTCTGTCTGTCATCCCTTGATTCTACTTGCTTTGACTGTTCAAATGAGATGTCAACCATCAAAATTGGATAAGGGGTTCTAGAGATATCACTGTTCAAAACACACCGGTCAATTTTGACCGAAAATAGCATGGGAAGGGGGGTATGACCTTACGCAAGAGAAGGGTTAAACAGTGTTACTAGTAAAAGTCCTGCAATCAAACTCATAAAAGTATAGAGTTTCAGCATCAAATATACTTTCAACTACCAAAAGTAAAAGTACTCATTATGCTAAATGGCTTATTTCATAAAAAGGTGTGTTATATTATTGGAATGATGGGTGGAGCTCAGTTTAATGATTGTTAATACTGTTGGGAAGCTTAATCTATAATAGTACATATAATTCGACTTAGTTACTTGATCCTGTATGAGTTCACCATCGAGTTATCCCATTGGCAGATAGCTGCATGTGTACTCAGCTACAGATCCCCATCGGTGACCTCAGGGGCCCCCAGGTACAAAGAAACAAAGCATAGGCATGGATGAATCCGCCGAAGAGCTAGAAAGTAAAACTCAAATGATATAATGTCAGATTGAGGAGTTTGATATGAGACAAATCTGAGTTTGATGAATCCACTTAATGACAAAGTGGGAACTCTTAGCACGGGAGGAGTTAAAAAAAGTCTGTTAAAGAAGAAGACAAAAAAAAGGAATCCCACCTCCCCTTCCTCGCCTCTGAATGGACTAACCCACTGGTTCACATGGCACCCTCCCCCCATGTGTGTGTGTGTTGTTTTTGCCTTATATAGTGCAGAGTTATCCAGCTGCTCTGCCTTGGGACCGAGAGATTAGAGTGCAGCCACACTATCTGCCCGTCTTTATTCCCCTGTTTGAATAAGAAGCCCAAGAAGAGCTTCTCTGCTCCACAGATCTCTGTCTCTACTTCTATCCAGTCAGGCAGCACAAGAGTCAAAATGAACGGCACGACTGATGAGAACTACGAGCACGCTGCCTTTAATGACGGCTCCTTCATGTTTACCTCGGAGTCTGTGGGAGAGGGGCACCCTGGTGAGTAGAGGACCCCCTCTCTGTGCTGATGCTGCAGGATGTGAATGAGGAGTAGTGGTGTTCGACACTTTTATGTTTCACTGATCATTGATGACTCGGAGGAATGTGAAAAAAGCCTGACTGGTGCATGGAGGCACTGTACCAGAAACAAGTAGTTTGAAGAGCCAGACAACTCTGATTTAGATCATGGATCCTGGACTTTATGGCTACTAAATTAGATTTTCGAACATCCTGCAGTTTTTCAACGAAGATAAATCTTGCATGGAAGCTACACATTATATTAAGAATTCACAAGTGCAAACTATGGGTAACTTTAAACGTTGCTTTGCTTCAATTAAAACTTAGTTAACTGAACTTGTAACTTGAATAGTTCGTTTGAAGTCATCAAGGTCACTAAACTAAGTATATTAATACTCAACAACTCCTGCTGTTCACATTATGCTGAGTGTCAAGAGTCAGTTGGTCATTTAACACGATGAACTTACAACCGCAGCTGCTAATGTAGGAGTCACGTTTTAACAGTTATTACAAAACACTGATCCTAAATCATTCAGGGACTCGGTAGTATCATAACATCGTTTTATTGACCCACAGGAAGCCAGTGCAAAGACCAGAGAACTAGAGCTGTTTGGTTGAATGGTTTAAAAACAACCAAATGCAATACATTCTGCTGAAATCACATTTAGCTTAAATCACAAGTCTCACTGGACTTTGATGCAATACATGCATTGAGTGATCTAAATTTGACCCACTATCTTTTTAGCACTTTGGACATGCATATGGCACTGTTGCACATTCCTAGGTCATCACATTCCCATCCTATAGGGGAAACTAAAACAGGGAACTGTAGTATTAGAATATGACAAGCCAAAGTGTAATTATTAGGCCGAAAAGCAGACAGAGAAAAGTAAACTGTATGGCAGTAAAATGTACCCCTACTGCTATAGGATGGTAGAACACCTTTCTCACGGTTACAAAATATAGTGCATTAACATGACTACTGGTGATGACACATGGCACAGCATTAGCCCTGATGTCCAAAGCAAAATATATATGTATTTTCTATGAAAATGTGCAGCTTATGCACAACTGATTTTCTAATTATTATTACTAACAATAAAAAAGGATACAATGACACCACAGTATTATTAGGCAACAGCAAGTTAATAAACCTGTCACTTTAACAGCAGAATAACATCAACAAGGCAACAGCACAGACATGTATAGATAACTCGACAGCGGCTGTAGCCACAACAGCACACATTCAATCAAAAATGATATGCTGCACAGTTTGCACATACCTATAGTATAGTACAACAAACACACATCTTTGTTGTTAGAATTACCTGTCTCATGTTGTTCTCTTGTCCATCATAAATTCCTCCTCACTCTGCTCCAGGTTCAGCTTCTCAGCTCGTTCATCCTCAGTCCGGCTCACTGCGCTCCTTAAAGTTTCATACATTGTATCTTAATCTTAATGACATTAATGTCACAAAACATAAATGATGTCTCTCACCGAAAGTAAACTTCAAAAGAAAACATAGCGAGTGGGTACTGGAGCATCCGTCCGGAACAAATTAGCATGTTAGCAAGCTAGCGCTAGCTTGCACCTGTTGCTTACGCATTATTTTGGTGCGTTTGATTTGCGTCACTGCTTTCCCGCCAGGTGACGCTCCTCAGGTGATAACCAAGGACTGTAGACAGACAGACAGACAGACTGACATTATTTTGTTGGCCTAATTTAAATGTGTACAGTAATTTAATTACAACTTTGTTACAGGTGTACTGTAGGCCCACTTCATATTTGTTACTTCCAACCTTGGTTTATATGTAGGCCTATAGTGTATGGTTGGAACTTTATGCACTTTCTTCTACAGTGGTGCCAGAGGTTATTTGCTCAAGTAGATTTAGTAATAGCCTACCACCAACCACCCTTGTTGTTAAATACAAAAAAAGATGTCTGTAACTTAGTTCTGAAGACCTGTAAATCCAAAACCGAAAGCAAAAGATCATTGTTTAATAGATATTTAATTATTAAATGAAATGTACATGTTCAAAAATATGTATTCATATTTAGAAATATATTTAGAAATATATTTCATAAATTAAACTATATTTTCCAAAAATTTTAATTCTTATAAACTGGAAAACTCCAATAGCTGTTAAAAAAAAGTTGTCAGATGTGATGCAAGGAAAGTACAATACGCAATATGCTGAAGTGGAAGTAACAGAAGGGAAAAGAGTTTCAGTACAGTTACAGTGTTGCATATCACCAAGCCAGGCTATTCCTGGGGCTGTAGCTCCTAACAGGAGTGATGTGTAGTCCTCTGGATAGGTGAAATATGATACTTCAGGCTCTGCCCAGATGAGAAATGTGTGACATGTGCAGCAGAAGGTCACACGAGGAAAACGACCTAGAATAGTAACAATTAACCATGTAATGAAACCAATTGTTTTCCAGATAAGATATGTGACCAGATCAGTGATGCTGTGCTGGATGCTCACCTGAAGCAGGACCCGGATGCCAAAGTGGCCTGTGGTGAGTAACAATGTGTTCCTCTCCAGCAGAGAGAAGAAGAGTACAAATAAAAAAGGATTGTATTTCCTCATATCACTACATGAGTGTATCTTATCCTCCAAATGTTTGTTAGTTAACATGACAAAAACGTATATTTAAATTATGATTTTACTTTTCTGTTGCTGACGAAAATGGTTGTTGCAACTAAAAGGAACAGATAAATAGACAAAAGTAAAAAAATAATAACAAAGACTGCTTTTTAAAACTGAACAGGATCACTATATCACATGTCAACAGAAGGAGTTTCCAAACTGTAATGTTGCTGGAAAATGCACAAAGTTCTATCTTATCAGGATGAAAATGCACTGTAACATACTCTGTGCTTTGGAACAGAGACGGTGTGTAAGACCGGCATGGTGCTGCTTTGTGGTGAGATCACGTCCCGAGCCAACGTGGACTACCAGAAGGTGGTGAGGGAAACCATCCGGAACATCGGGTATGACAACTCAGACAAAGGTGAGTGGAACCAAATGTTTAATCTCTGCACATGTCCCTAAACCACTTACTTTGATGCATCGCTGCATGCATAAACATGAACCAAACAATAAGTCAGTAGGTTTTTTTATATAAAAGCGAGTTAACTCTGGATGTCCGCCTCCCAGGCTTTGATTATAAGACCTGCAACGTGCTGGTGGCCCTGGAGCAGCAGTCCCCTGACATCGCCCAGGGAGTTCATATTGATCGTCTGGAGAATGACATTGGAGCTGGAGACCAGGTCAAAAAAACACTACACTTTTTTTGCACACACACTCTTATCTCAATTTGGGAAACTTAAAATATGCAAAATGCTTCTCACAGTAATACACAAAGAGACAAAAAAACACTGAATCATAGTTCATGTACAGCTTTTTTAGTTAAAGTAAAGTACAATCTTTATTCAAATTAAAAATACAATACTACACTACAAAATAACTCATATACAAGTTCTGCATTCAAGTAAAAGTACTAACATCAAAATATCTAAGTAAACAAAAGTTAAACTACTTATGCAGAATTATATCACTGTTTTGTTAGCTATTAAGGATGTATCGTAAGTAACATTAATATTTCAGCTGGTAAGATGGGGCTATTTAAACTACTTTATCTACTGCTGGGTGATGATTAATACTCTAAATCTGCAAAGTGTTACGACTGGAGCACACAAAAACTTGATAGGACCCAAATGCACGACTCCAGACAAAAGACGATTTCAAAAAAGGTTTTTACTGTGGTGATAAGCAAGGTAATCCATTCTCAAGGTTCAAAAACGATCTGGCACTGAGCACAGGGAACACACAGAATATATACACAAACAAGGAACTCTACAGGTGCAAAGAATAAGGGTGGGGCAGGTAATCAGGTCTGTGAGTATGGTGACAAGGTAGGAGACGAACTACCTGAAAATGAGACTTAAACTAAACAGAGAAATAATATTAACAGATCTACCGAGACACAACACAAATTAACTACCAATCAAAGCTGTCAAATACATCTATTGAAGTGAATATACAATATTTACCACCAAATTGTAATGAAGTAGAAGGATAAAGAACCTCCATGTTGTAAAAGATCAATACTTGAGTAAATGTACCTGGTTACACTTTGCCACTGTGGATACAACAAAGGTATTGATGACGACATAACTTATTATTTGTATTCTCTGGGGACAGGGTCTGATGTTTGGGTACGCTACAGATGAGACAGAGGAGTGCATGCCCCTCACCGTCGTCCTCGCACACAAACTCAACTCCAAGATGGCCGAACTGAGACGTAACGGGACCGTCCCCTGGCTCCGCCCGGATTCCAAGACACAGGTAGGATCTAAATACATACTGAAAAAAGGAACATGAACACACTGTTACAGTGGTGAAGCAATTATCAGTCAATAAGTAAAATGTCATACATTCCATGTAAAACAAAAAACTGTCCTTCTAACTCTATACAAATAATCTGCCACAGTAAAGATTCTCTTCCCAAAAATAATGCAAGATTATTCAAACACAGATGCTATTTGCACCTGAGTGTCTATAGTCAACAATGCCATTTGCTAAGCAGGGGCAAATAGAAACAGTTTTGTCCTTAAGGAGAAAATTACAAAATAAAGATTTCACCTTACTTATTCATGCTTTTCCCACAATTCAAAGTATAATCTGGACAAGACAAGACTTCTAAAGTGTTTACAGCGTAGACATTATGAACCTAAAAACATTGACTGATATGACAGTTAACCTGTTTATATTTAGGTTTTGCACCTTTTGACATTTACATTTGTATTCTTTCCTACTGAAACTACTGCACAAGTTATATCTCTCTCATCATTTTTGACAATGCTGAGTACTTATTTCCACTAACTACCCTTCTTAAAAGTCAGACGCTCATCCAAAAAACAAGCTAAGCATTCAGAGCTAAATTTGGACATCTCATCCAGAGATATCCAGGTTCGAGAGTAAGTCGAGCCGCTGGTTTTCACTATGTTTATCTCACTAGTAGGTGGGGCTAGTAGGTGGGGCAGTGGTCTCCAGAAAGTGCAACCAGAGCACGCTGGTATGCAACATCTGAGCTGTCTTTCCAATAACCCCTCCACCGCTTTCAGCTTGTGCGTGTATCAAATTGGTTCTTTGAAACGCTCGGCACACACTCTTAAGATTTACAGTCCTCCATTTGGAAAGGCTCAAATAAAAAAAGAGCAATGTTATCAATAGATAAAAAAACAGAATTCAAATGAGTTAACATGTCTTAACACTGTTAATTGTATCCCAATTTGAACATGACACAATAGTTTAAGAGTAAATTAATTATTTAAAGATGAACTTTTTTACTCATGCAAAGAAAGCAGCACAAATTGCTTTAAAATTCAGCATAACACATCCTAAAATAAAGCATAAAAAACATACATATACACAAGAAGGAAGGAAGAATAGTGTTGCTTTTCTAAAAAAAAATTCTAAAGAAAAGTTGAAAGATTAATAACAAACAGCCAGTATTTGAAGGCCATAGGGTTTCTGATCACAATTCAAAGAATGTTCCATATTTTGGATCCTAATGGCTAAAAATAGCATTCTCAAAAAGCAGCTGTGGAGGATCATATATAGTTCAGGATCATAAAAAGATTGTGTCATATAACAGGGTGCAAGGCCAAGAAAATAGCTTAAACCAACTCAAAGAAAAACAGGTAGCTGGTGTTGGTTTTATATCTTCTCTCTTATATCTGCAGTAAACATACTAAAGCCTCTCCACTCCGATCCCCCCAGGTGACGGTGCACTACACCCAAGAGAACGGCGCTGTGATCCCCAGGAGGGTTCACACTGTGGTGATCTCAGTGCAGCACGACGACGAAGTGTGCCTGGAGGAGCAGAAGGAGGTCTTGAAGGAAAAGGTCATCAAAGCTGTGGTCCCCTCCAAGTACCTGGACGAGAACACCGTCTACCACCTGCAGCCCAGCGGACGCTTTGTGATCGGGGGGCCCCCAGGTAAAAGTCTTGAAAAAGACCACAAGCCAAAACGTGTTCCTGTTTATACTGTTAGCGCTGCTGGAGGTGAATTTAGACACTTGTTCTGCTTTTAAATCTTGGAAGTAGGCGAAGTTGGGAAAAAATTTCTTACTCGAATATAACAACAGACAAAAATGTTGTAGGTTTTTTATTACCTACCAGATCTATACATAACTTTACACAGCACAAGGATTGAATGATCTTATCTTACAGTATAATACATTCATATAACTCAGTTTTACATTGAGATAGAAGAATAGTAACACGATTTTTGCATTTGTGTGCCATAGAAATGTGAATTGTGAGTGATTTCATTTGTCAGGGCGATGCTGGAGTGACGGGCAGGAAAATCATCGTGGACACATACGGTGGTTGGGGGGCTCACGGTGGGGGAGCTTTCTCTGGGAAGGACTGCACCAAAGTGGACCGCTCCGCTGCCTACGCTGCTCGCTGGGTGGCTAAATCTCTGGTGAAGGCCAAACTGTGCAGGAGGGTGCTGGTGCAGGTGAGAACTACAAATAAGTACACATTCACAGAAATATATTTAATGTGCTTTGCTGGAATAAATCCCATCAATACTGTATTGTATGTGGACTACCAGTCTTCAAAGTCTTACATTTGGTTGAATGATTGTGTCTTAATTGTTATGAGGGTTCGGATGTCCACATCATTTTGGCCATATATATTGTGGTCCATTCAGGTGTTCAAGTCAAGATCTATAAAACAGATCACTGGCACTCTCTGGCAGATGAAAATCTATGTATCACGTATATTTTCTTCCCTGTCTGTATTTTCAGGTGGCGTATGCGATCGGAGTGGCCCACCCTCTCTCCATCTCCCTCTTCACCTATGGCTCCTCTCAGCGGAGCGAGAAGGAGCTGCTGCAGGTTGTCAACAAAAACTTTGACCTCAGACCCGGCGTCATCGTCAGGTCAGCATTACAACTGATAACATCTTATTTGTTGTAATATGCAGAGTGATAGTTGTTTAAAATGTAACTATACTCAGTGGTGATAGAAGTTAAAATAGCAATACCAAAGTGTAGAAGTATTTTATTAGAAGGATTCAAAGGGTCACATATAAACCTGAGAGGTAATGAGATCTTTAAAGGCAGAGGAAAGATGTTGTATGTTGCATGTTGTATTGAAGAAGACGTACAAATAGTATTCAAGTTAACTTGTCAGGAAATGTTTACTAAACTAATAAATCAAGAGAGAAGTGGGGTCATTTTTTCCTAGACTCCTTTTTACAGCCAGTGCATTATTCCCCTGTTCCACACCGTACTTATATGATTGTACTTTGTTACTTTCCTCCTCTGACTGTTATTCAGATGGGTCATGTTTAACCTGTTAACATCTGATTTGATCTTTTATTGTCGTGCAGAGATCTGGACCTGAAGAGACCCATCTACCAGAAGACGGCCTGCTACGGACATTTTGGCAGGAAGGAGTTCCCCTGGGAGGTCCCAAAGACCCTCAACTTCTAGAGTATATGTGTGTATGTGTGTGTGAGTGTGTCAGTGGTGTATAGATAGCTGTCCATGTGACCCTGTAACCCAGTAAGAGAAAATCAGAGGGATGGGTCAGGGTGGGTGCAGACGATCTCCCGTGATTGGCCGAGCTGAAGAGGTTTCATCATCTGTACTTTATGACCCTTCAATAGTAACCTGAAATAAGAGCAGGCTATTTGGTATTTTTGTCTCATAGGTTCAGTGTCAGTCACATGCCTGCAGTTTGTTTCACACATAAAGTGGTTGCTTGCAACTGTTTCTGCCCTAGAATAAGTGAATGACCAAATTTGAAGGGAGAGCAGCCATGCAAAGGTTTTTAAAACACTTCTAATGTCTTAAGAAAAATAACATTTGTTATTTTTTCAGTATTGATGTATACTGTACGATGCTGGTTTCCTTCTGGAAGATCTTAAAGTCATTACATACATTTCAGCCTGAAATCAAATCTGTACCCTGAACATACTGTGTTGGCCCATGTTCAAGATAAAAAAATATGTGACTTTAATGTTATATTAATTTATTTTAAATCAAGAACGTAGTCACGCAGACAAATGTATGGAACCCCTCAGAGGCAAGTGAGAAAAAAAAAATTCTGGTGACCCAATTTTAAAATCTGATCTAAATAGTTTTATTTTCTATGAATATAACATAAAAACAAGGTGACAAGAAGATTTGCTGAAATAATATTATTATTGTTTTATTTTTATCTGGGTCATTCTTTAAGTGTTTGTTACTGTAATACATATTCCGGCCCTCAGGAGGCGGAAGTGCACCCCCATGTTTTAAAAAGGACTGTAAGAATGAATGTTTTCTTCCAGCTGAGTTTTATTTCTCCATGCTCTTTTGCAACACAGATAAATATAGTGTGTGTTAGCAAGTTATGTAAAACGTATCCTAGGAAAACTATTTGTTTTCCTGTGATGTTTTGTCATAAACACAGGAGAGAAAATGTTTGAGGTAAAAAAAAAATGGATCAACAGAATTGTTTTCTCTCACTTGCATCTCAGGGCTTCCGTACAATCCCTACCAAACAAATACGAGATCAAAGAGGTCATACAGCAATGTCCCAAAGAACTTAAAAATGTTAGTCTGTTAAAAGTTGTAAATCAGAGCGATTTATTTGCTGCATCTTAACATTTACTTTAGATATTTTGATTATAGTTGTCAGCAGTTTTAAGTGTGTTTGCTGGCTTTAAGCAGAGTGTCTGCAGGTGTTAGTTGGATAGGCTAAAGCAGGGGTGTCCAAACACATGGGCCGCTCATTAAAGGTGAGGAATATTGCCTGATAAGTTAAGTTAAATTATTCTTGATTATTGAATATGCTTTAAGAAAATGTACCTCTTACATTTTACATATTTAAGAAGTACAATATAAGACAACCAGAAATTGTGTGTGTGGGCTATATTCTACTTTTAGAATTTGCTGCATTCCAATTTAAAATGGAACACGGGCCGCAGTTGGCCCCCGCGCCGTGGTTTGGACACCTCTGTTCTAAAGCCTTAAACGCTACAGTCTTTAGAGCTTTAAGAAGTGAATTCACAAACTTCAACTCTTCTGAATAGATAATTACATTTTCTTTATATCTATTTCTAAGTTGTACATTATTGGTAATAAACCAAATGACATGCAGACACTGAATCTAATCAAAATGACAACAATACATGTCCCAAAGACAAAATGTTGGAGATATTAGATATTTTTGTTGCTTATTATTCCTTTTCGGTAAGAAGCTTGCTGGTACATTTCTGCAGGTTGTATTGCCATACTGGATGAACTTAAGCCTCTAAAGGTCTTCATTTATAGTTTTCATTGCTTGTTTTTTTTCTATTTAGGAATCAACGCACAAACCTATATCCCTAACATGCTATTATATTTATTTTCCAAGGTATGTATGGTTTCATGTATTTTGGTACTAAGCCATCATGAAGTCAGACACTGTAAAAGATCCCGAGATTAATTAGATGAAGATTCAAATGTCAGAGATGTATCACTTTACAGTTTTACAAATCCTGACTGCTTCCTATACATTTTTAAAGAAAGCTGCAATTTTAAGTTGATAATCAGAATAACAACATTCAGTCTAAAGTCTTAATCGTTTTTTTGGTAACACTTTACAATAAGACTAGCCTTATAAAGGGTTTTCATAAAGGGTTTCTAATTAGGTTATTAATTAGGTTGTAACACTAAGAACCATCATCATCCTCATCATCATTAAGAACCATTTATAAACCAGTTCTAACATAGACACAGGCTCACTATTTGGCAAGATGACTAAGCCTTATATTGGCACTAGCTTACTTCGTCATCAGCCAGCATCCTTGGTATCTGTTGTTCACTGAGTTGATTCCCCCCCCTTCCATCTTGATGTTTTTTGGCATCTCTTTATGACCATTTATTTACGAGTTACTACCATTTCTAATAAGGCTTAGCCGTACAAATAAATGTGGGCTCACTATTTGGCAAGCAACCGGTCACAGTTGCCCTGTTTATCTCATGTCTCATAAATGCTTATTAAGTGTTCACAACCTAATTAATAAATGAATTACAAACTATTCGTAAATAAGGGTAGTCTTATTGTAAAGTGGTACCGTTTTTTTGTAGTGTTAGTAGGAAATAAATGCACAAACCTGCATTCTGAACACAATACCATATTTCCTTTAAACTCATTGTTTGAAATGAACAGCTGATTCTTTAGTTTTATATGAATTGACAATCCAAACTGTGAATTTCAATAATGCCTGCAAACATCTGCAAAGATTAGATTAGATGTTATCTATACTTGTTTTAAAAAGTTATAAAATCAGAGGAAATGCTGTGAATCTGCCACCTTGTGCGGCACGTCTCCAATTCAAAATCTCACTCCTATAACAAATGCTGTGTCATTTGTCCTGGAAAATGCTGTAAATATGATTTTTGAACAATAAAACATTTGAACAAGAGGCATTACATCTTTCTTGCTTTAATTATTTTGTTCTCTGCATACATTATTCTTGTAAAAGTATGTCTGCGTATTATCACAATACGGATAGTTTGGTCCCATTCAAACTGTACAACTCTCATTGTTACTGAGAGCAATGATACATATCTTTGGAAAAGAGCTGATACAACAAAATATACAAAAGAGCTTTAATATGAGACAGATACTCTGGCAATATCCCCATAAAAAGTCGCACAAAATGTTTCTTTGGATATCATAAAAAACTATAAAATAAACTGTTCAACATAGGGCAGATAAACCTGCTATAAAAATGATTATTTTTGGCACATGGTTACCTTTAGTCCATCCATTGTCTTTTGGAAAACTTTCCCTTACATTAGGCAAAAGCAGTTTATGTAACAAAAACTTCCTGAGTAAAAAACACGGAGCTTGGTGTTCTGAACGTCTAAACATTCAAACAAACTGACGGCGCTACATCTGAGGCGAGTTCAGGAGGTTCGGTCTGATGAAAGGCGACTTTGGCCAAGAATGCAGAGAGGCATTGTTACATTGAGAGAATTAAAACAAACACACGAGTGTGTCTGTGTGTGTGTGTGTCGTCAGAGGTCTGCGCAATTCGAGGCCCTCTCAGATTCCCCCCTGCACACGTCTGGGCCCCTCTAATTACGTTCTGGGGCGCACACATCACAGTTCCACCTGTGTGTGTGTGTGTGTGTGTGTGTGTGTGTGTGTGTGTGTGTGTGTGTGTGTGTGTGTATGTGTGTGTGTATGTGTGTGTGTGTGTGTGTGTGTGTGTGGATCTCTGTCAGGGTTCAAAAGGCACTTGCATTATTGTGCAATGTTCTGCAGCTGTGACCTGCAGTGCACATACATTAAGCAAAGCAGGATAAAAGTATTTGGTCACTGCTGTGTGCAAGAGCATCCATAATCAGGTCCTCCATACAGTATGTGTCGCCCTTTGACCTCCAGGGATCCTGAAGCTTGTTCACACTGTGGTTACAGCATCGATAAACTCTCAGGCTGATGGTGGTTGGAGCCGCTGCTCACCTCTGCCTTGTGTCCAGATGTGGAGAAGCCGTTTAGCCCCCCTCCTCCTCCTCCGGTCAGCACCATCAGTGTGTCTCCCGACATGTCCCCGAACTCAAAGGCAAAAGTCCCGTAGAAGAGCATGATGAGCATGCAGTAGATCCACTCAAAGATGGCGGAGGCATGTTGCAGGGCGAAGCTCTCCTGGCAAAAGAAAACTCCACCTGGAGAGTCAAGGGTTAAGGAGAACAATGGCTGAACAGCAGGAGGGAGACCATCTGTACATCTCTCTCTCACAGGAATATAAACATCCTCACACGGGATTTATGGATGTGTTCATTTAAGGCATCTATTTTCATATATTACACTGAGGGTTGACAGTTTGATTTAGGGAAGGGGTGTAAGTGTTGTTTTCTCCAGCAGGGGGCCACGTCACACAATGTACCTATCCACCATACTGAAGTACAATTTTGAGGTGAGTATTAACGCTTTGTTACTTTATATTTCTACGTCAATATGTTTTGCAGGAAATGTTGTAGTTTTTCATTCTTTTTTTGTATTTCTTTGTATTTCTTTTATTGACATTTATTGAAATTTCCTATTTTAACATTAGATTTTAATCAGAATTCGTTTTTCTCTCTACTTTTTCTATGCTTCCTTTGTCTTGTTTTAATTTCACTTTAAATTTCATTAATGCTTTAGTTGAGTGGTTGACTTTAGTTTTTTTTAAAGATGTCTTCACTAGTGCATTTATTGAAGTGCCAGTGAGCAAATAGTCCCAGGACGGATTCGAACATTCTTCTCCGCATAGTGATTTAACCCCTGTAGATTTTGTGTTCTTTTATTAAATGTCCTGTATTCTGTGTCCTGCTTTTGTTTTAAAAGCACTGTGTGATTGCTATATCTGTATCTAGAGACATTTTCCTATTATACACACATGCATTTCCAAACATTTGGACTACCTATGTTGCAAATGTATTATCTTTTCAATTTACACACGGCATCTATTGCACGTCTGTCCGTCCTGGGAGAGGGATCCCTCCTCTGTTGCTCTCCCTGAGGTTTCTCCCATTTTTCCCTTTAAACTGTGGGTTTTCTTCGGAAGTTTTTCCTTGTACGATGTGAGGGTCTAAGGACAGAGGGTCTAAGGACAGAGGGTGTCGTATTGTCATACTGATATTTTGTACAAACTGTAAAGTCCACTGAGACAAATGTAACATTTGTGATATTGGGCTATATAAATAAACATTGATTGATTGATTGATTGATTTTGAAGAAACAACAGGGGGGAAATTATCTCTGAAACTCGTCTTTCGATAATCTTGTCTTCTTTTTGTTAGGGGATAGTTTAACTGATGTCACACCTCAAAACTCACCAAGCAAGAGAAGAAAAATACCTAATCTACATTTAACAATACCTAAAAAGACAAAGTTAGTGGACACACAGAATGAGCTTCATGTTGGCAGGATACTGAGCACCAGAGCGACGAGGGCCAGCAGGGCCATCCCCACCCGCAGGTGACCTATCCGATACTCCTCCTGGGTCTTAGCCAGTCTGTAGGTCAGAGCCGACTGCAGACACACAAACAGCATGCTGGAGGGGAAGGTCACTCCAGCACCAATGTAATGGAGGACTTTGGCAAAATCCACCTGAGAGATAGACACAAAGAAACAGTTAAATTCCTTCACAGATACTTATTAACCTCCAGGGAACTGTTTTAGTATTAGAAGTCTTAATATGGGGAAGAATGATGAGATTTTGTGTTATAATTTAGGTCTTATCATTCAACTTTACTTCATATTCTTTAGGGAAATGAGAGAAAAAACTCAACATACAAACATTACCCGGCCTTTCATCAGTCAGCATCATTATACATATTTATTTTGGTTTCTGTCCCTTACTTTTGATTTCTCTCGTCAGCTGAGCTACACCATTGGTAATTTCTAACTTTTTTGACATTCTATCTATAGTTTTTTTAAGTAATTGCATTGCCATGTAATTCTGTTCAGACATTCATGATCCCCATGATGAATCTAAATGAGCGTATTAATCCACTGGTTTCCCCTAGCGCCATGTGTTTGAAATGTTTGTTTTTTGTGAAATATCACTACAACTTTAAAATGTTTCAATTCCATTCTTATGTCATTAACACAAATGCATGGTGCCCAGAGGCTGAATCTTAATCTCCTGTAAATGGCACCAAAAAAAAGTATAGTTCTTTGCTTCACATCCAATCACAGTGATGGCAGGACATTGATGATCGGACGTTGGTATCTCTACAGTAGCTGAATGACTTTTGAATCATTCAGCTACTGTATTTAAAACAACCATTTCCGTTTGTTCTTTTGCAATCTGAACTGACAAGATATCCATTAGCAATCTTTTACAATGAGAACATAGGGATGACAACGTTAGCTTTGAGCTGAAAGTACCACTGTACTCTTGGTCTTGTTCTCTTTTTGATATAAAGTAATGTATTTCTTCTTTATTCGACATAAACGCCTTACGTGCGTTGTATCATAATACATGTCTGTTATGAGCTTATCTCTTTCACAAAACATTTGTGTTACTTATTTTAAAAAATTACACTTGTTTTCTAACCTTACAAATCTGTAAAAGGTTAACCCTCAACCTTAAAATGTAAACATGATCTGAACAGTTTTTCTTGTGGCTTTCTCATGGGAAAATACAAAAACAAATTACAAAAACACACACAAAGGGTCACTGTGACCCAAGAACGGCACTCTGGGTAATCAATGCTACAATATCATCTGACAAAGAAAGTCACAGAGCAAGACGGGTCAATTTTCTCCATAAGATAAGGAACAACTGTAATGATAGCCATTTACAAAGCCAACAGGATTATCTTCCTTGTCATCCATGACACAAATAGACAATTAGAGAGTTAATTTGAGCTGATAAGAAACTTGTGACTTTGATGTTCACAGAGACGGAGTAATCTCTACTCCTCTCATCCTTTTTTAAATAATTCTTGAGTGCACACATTTCTTTTTATATGCAGCAGCTGGTAGGATGATGACACGGAATGAACTGCAGGTTTAGTGGACGATAGAGGTGGATTGTGGGAGGAATCACAGCTGTTGAAGCTGTGTAATTACAGGGAAGAGCAGGAACATGTACCTTCTGCTAGTTACACATGCTGCTTCCAGGAACATCTGACTGGAAACGCTCAGGACTCAAAGCAGCAGGCGTAGGATTGGTTCAGAATAAAAAATGTAATTGTGTGGATGATGTATGCCATTTCCTATAACATATCTGTTTACAAATTCATAAAAAACAAGTTGTACTATTATGTATTATTTACATCATACTATAAAATTGAGAGGTATAGTCTAATAAAAATATATAACAATCGCTGCTTCATTAAAGGGTCCCTGTGTTCAGGTTTATGTCTGTATTTAGTGCCTCTACTGTGACATGTCTCCATGCTATAATGTTCAAGAAGCTCTTTATTTTTCTCATACATTCACCCTCTGTCTGAAACCAGAGCCCAGTCTGCTCTGATTGGATGGATGGCCGGCTCTGTAGTGATTGGTTAACTGTCCCACCCTTTAGCCTTATCAGGTACAATGTGACGGAGCGCTCGCCAATAGAAGTGTCTTGTAGTGATGCCATCATGTAATGGAAGTAAACAAAGAAGTCCAATGGAGGTGTCTTTACAGACCATTTACATTCACAAAAACCTATTCAACACACAGGAAAGAGAAAACCCCCAAAAGCATTATGTGGTCCCTTTAATATAAGATACATTAAAATGCCAAAACCATAATATTTGTTGTAAGAGACCTTATACTTTTCACAAAAATGGGCACTGTCCATTGTGAAGGGCAAAACTAGGCCTCTGGTAGTTTTTAAATACATTGGGTCTTGGCTGGACTTAAGATGGAATTCTAGGTCGATGAATAGATCCAAAGAAACCAGAACTGGTTTCTGGGAATTCTGACTCATTTTAAAAACATATTTGACAAACAAATATAACTAGATTGCACTTGGAGAGCCCAGACCTCAACCAATCGTTTATCGAAAATGTGTGCGTTTGAACTCGTTTCCGCTGTTTTTCTGCCTAATATGACAAAAATCTTCCACCAAAATGTCCAATCAATATTTTTTCCAATTATTTTGAAACCACATGAATGCATTACAAACACTCCGTCTCTTAACGAACTGGATGTATCCCCCCTTGATTTGTATCCGCTCTAAAATAAATGGGTTCAAAAACATGGCCTCCTTGGGGTAGGTAATAATAAACTACAGAGGATGATCCAGAATGTAGGCAGTGATAAAAGACAGTTTATCTAGCCTTAAAACTACCAAGGGAAATAAAAAGGATGTTAAAGAGGTTAAAAATGTGGACAAAGGACAACTTAACAAAAGCTAATGCTTCTCTTCTCTTCAGCCTCTCTTAGGCAAATCTCATTCAAGATATCATAAGACTTCAATTCAACATCAACACTTCATCCTGATGTAAACATCGGCCCTCGTGTGTTTGTTTGTTTGTGTTTATGGCTCTGCAGATGGATGGAGAGCATACAGTAAATAACTCCTCAAGGATTCCTGCCATGTTTACTTTGTAGTGAAACAGGAAGAAGGTTTATTATGTAAGATAGAGCAGGGGGCCGGGAGGAGGGCCCTTGCAGCCAATCAGAGAAGAAGAAGAGGAAGAGGAGGAGGAGGACCACCTTTTACCACAAGAGGGTGAACTGGATGTTGGACCTGTAGGTGGAACTGTGATGTGTGCGCCCCAGAACGTAATTAGAGGGGCCCAGACGTGTGCAGGGGGGAATCTGAGAGGGCCTCGAATTGCGCAGACCTCTGACGACACACACACAAACACACGGACACACTGATTCACATGTCTGAGTATTACCATATCCATATACTTAGCTTACTGGTTTGGTAAGCCCTTGACTTTATACATACAGTGTTTCCCTAAGGAGACGGTGGATACCAAAAACCTGGCTAAAATAGGAGCGAATTTTGAGAGGGCAGATTTCTGATGGAGCGTCTGCTGTAAGCAAAGAATAATGCAGGTATCCATTGATTGAGACCTGATAAGTTCTTCCTTTGCAAGAAAAAAGAAAGAAATCCCCATAGTTAAGAGTCTTAAAAGAACATTTTCTATCATTCCTCCACAAAAAGTTAAACTAAAAACGAGTAAATTGATAATAGTTGCCAATTTATTTTTTGTCGATCGACAAATATATACATTAAACAAAATGTTCAACTCTGAGTCTGCATTATAACAAACAACACCTGTAAAGCTGTCAAATCAATGTAGTGGAAAGACAATACACTACTACAAGACAAGTATTAATTACATTACTTGAGTAAATGTACTTTGTTTCTCCCCACCACTGGACGTACACATAATTCCTATGTGATCAAATACTAAACACATGCATGCCTTCCTGGCAGAAACCCCACAGTTGTCACATGTTGAGCAGCAGATTTAACACAAAGTACACCTGAGGCTAGGAAATCTCTCATGATGGGAAGATATGTGTGCAGGTGTGTTGCAGCATGTACATGTGCTCTAGTTCTCCTCTACAGTAAATCTCTCTTTCTTATCTTAACAGTTTTTAAAACCAGCAGAAACAAGTCAGCACAAAAGGCGACGCTGACACTGAGCTTCTTCCTAAACAAATGCAGAACAAAGAACATCAAAAGAGATGTGTTGGAAGGTCTACAACTTGCTGAGAAACTGCAGGAGGAGAAACACATCAGAGGAGCCTTTAAAACCAACAGAAACACAACATACACTGTTCACTCAACAGCCTGCTAGTTACTGGATCCATAACTTAGGAAACGCTTTTATTCAAATACTAAGACTTGTTTTCAGTATTGATACTGGCATCAATAGGATTGATTTCATCATACATTATGTTTTATGCAAATTAAAAGCTTTTTTAGTGCACTTTCTGCTTCTTTGCTGCCATTGTTTGCATGCACTGACAGCTCAAAGAATTCATATAAATATTCAATAAAGTGTTATTGCTTTGATCATGTATTTAACATGCATGGAATAAAGATATTAACAGAAATCGGTAAAAGAATAAATGCCTAATGTGAGCGTTGGGGAACATTTTTCAGTGGCAATATAAGAAACATCTTAATTATGCATTTAAGTCATGAAATGGTACATCTGCATTACATAATCATATTCATCATATCAAATATTTATATTAAATCAATTATCCCTAGTGTTTCTTGGTATCAAATCATAATTAAATGTTCTGAATCCTCTACTTTGTTGGGATAAATCCTGTTCAAACCATTTTTAACCAGTTATCTGTAATCTGTTGAAAAGCATTTAGGCCTATATCTGTAAATTACCGGTTGGTGCCACAGAGAGTTCACACAGCAGCAGGTTGTCCACCTGCTGCTGTGTGATAGGTGCCGAGAGATATTTCATGTGTGAGTTCTTTTAATAAGGAGCCAGGATTTGCTCAGCCCTGCACCACAGGGTCTGTCCATTAGCTCAGAGTACCTGTGTGTTTGCTAAAGAGACTGTTATTAACTCCACAATGTTTGTTACACAGAGGCCACTGAGTCCCTCTGCTCTCAGTTGCCATGGCACTGACCCATACATCATGTCAAGACTTATCTCAGCAGCAAGGTCATATCAAAGTAAGTCTCAATATAAGCATTGCATGGAGAATAAATAAGTACCCAAGTATTTTCACAGTATAAAGACCATTAATACTATTTCAGAATGCCCCGCTGACTGTAATTAGACAACTCCTAGTCTACTCTAAATTATCAAGGAACCAACTCGATTTTTCCCATTTGTTTGAAAAAACACTATCGAAATTCTGAAAGAAACTCATTTTGGAAAATGCAGCACTGCAGAAAGGAGATTTAATTATACGTTCACCTGATTGTCTTTATAATATTGATTCTTAATCTTTCTCATTTAGCTCTTCTATTGCATGCTTTTACTTATGTTGCTATAACTTTGGAAAATGTAGACCATAATCATATTCTTCTTTTTCTATATCTTCTATCTAGCTACGTCGCTAATGAGGCTTAAAACAATCAAGAACCTGCCTTTAAAACCTTCATTTTTTATAATTTATTTGGTGAACCACCTGGAGCCATTGTGCACCAGAGGGGTGGGGGGCTAAGACACATTGGTTATCTACATTGGTATCTTACCTGGAAGTTTCCCACCATGATGAGCCCTGCAGCACAGATCCAGGCGCTGGAGAGGCCGGCCGTGTTGAGGATGCAGTTCTGGTGCTTCTCGATCACATGAGCGTAACGCAGCAGAGCAATCAGCATCACTGCAGGGGCAGGTGGAGAGAGGAAGAAATAAGAAAGAGACATCTCATCATGCCGTCTGGTGACCACATCTGGCTTAAATCTTCCAGCAACTTTGCCAATCTACAAACTGGATTTCAGATGTTTACACTGTCCACCATGCATTGTCTTTGCCTACTAATTTTATATTTTTCCTCAGCGTAGAAATGTAGTTCAACTGAATGTTTAGTGTCTTATTAGTGACTATTAGGTCTACATTAAAAAATATATATATATTTTTAAAAAGCTGGTTGAAACTCAACCTGATTCAAGCCCATGGGAATTTTGATAATTGCAGTCTGATCCGACCTAGTGTGGTATACTGTATGTGTGTAGGATCTATCTCTACAATTGCTTTACTGTAAACGTAAAATAAAAAGAAATAAATGACAAATTTGCTAACAGCATCAGGATGCAGCACAAAAAGGAACAAGGTCAGTGTTGCATCTGTTACTTTAAGTATCAATGCTACAGATCTCGGTGTGAGCAGATTCCTGGTCAGTGTTTATTAATCTGCTCCATCAAAGCTTCACAGCAGCTTCACTGTACCACATGACCACCTGATGCTCATACCGATCACATCTGGTACACATCACGCAGCACAGTACAGACAGCGACTGTTATGATGTCCATATTGCTACTCCAGCAAGCAGGGAACCAAGCGGCAGGCAGATAGAAAGATCTGCTTTCTGATCTTCTCATGAACGCTCACACCACACCTCAGAGTTAAAATAAGCTGCCTCACTAACATAAACTCAGTATTGTTTATGAAACACAATAAAAAAATGGAGGGAAGCTTTTGATGTTAGGTACATTTCCAGAGTGAAAACGAGGGGTTATGTATTGTAACCCTAGTTATATAAGCACATACGGAGTCCTCTACTGGACTCTATGGGTACTACCTGAAGACTTTTCTTTTTGTCGCTGCTTTTAATTGAACTATTCATATCTTAGACTGCACTGTAACTTTTATCCATTTTTTTTTTCTTTTAATGTTTATTTTATTAGCTTTTCTTTTTAATGACTGTTTTTAAATGCCATTTTCTTAATGTCTTTCATTTTTTGTAAAGCACTTTGAATTGCCTTGTGTTGAAAAGTGCTATATAAATAAACTTGCCTTGCCTTACCTCTCTCTCCACCATACCATGCAAGCATTCACCTACTGAGATATCTATAAACGTAGCCGCCCCCCGGGGCGGGCCTACCTGAATGCGCCTGCAAGCACACCGTATAAAAGGCGGCCTCGCCTCCTGACTGTTATCCTACACCCTCTTCAGCGAGCGGCATAGGACAGACAGGGCCCCGAGTAGAGGGCTCTGCCTGTGCTTATATAACTAGGGTTACAATACGTAACCCCTCGTTATATTTTACACAGGCTCCCCCCTCTACTGGACTCTATGGGTACAGTGGGCGGAACCCTAATGCATAAACGCGCTGTCTTCCAACAACATCGGCCCATCATACTGCCCCTGACCGGCTTTTGGTTAACAGCCACTGCACCGCAACTCCTTCTCCTCCGGTTGTGACCGTGGAGAAGATGGGGCCGCAGTTTACTTGGCTGGTAGGGCACACTCAGACACACTTACCTCGTAAATAGTGTGTATGAAAAATAGTGAGGAAGGCTCAGGCGGGGAGAGTCTTCCAGCCCTGCCTGGGGCATACTGCGCACCATGTTCCCCGGGTCCCTAAGGAGCATGGGAAAACACACAAGTGCATTATGTCCAGGGGGGGGGGGTCAGATATCTACTGACCCACAGCCCCCCCCCCCCCCCCCCCCATCACCAGTCCTGTGTTGCCCCAGCAAGCACAGACGATGAGCCAGACATGTCCAAGAGATAACACTTTAAGAAGGGGCCTGACGTGGACCATCTTGATTCAAATTATTTCTTTCTTTTCTCTGTTTACGTCTCAGTTGTTATCCTGCTCGCTGAAGAGAAAAGGATGACAGTCAGGAGGCGAGACCGCCTTTTATACGGTGAGCTTGCGCGCTCATTCAGGTAGGCCCGACCCGGGGGCCGAATACGTTTATAGATATCTCAGTAGGTGAATGCTTGCATGGTATGGTTGAGAGGTAGTACCCATAGAGTCCAGTAGAGGGCGGAGCCTGTGTAAAATATAACTGGGCAGACCCCAGCTTGGAATGCTAATGCTAGCGTTGCAACATGTCACATGGAAACATTTTGATGTTAGCAGGTGTAATGTTTCAACCCAGTCTCACGGCATTTCGTGTTCACCAACACGATTTTTAATCTATTGATTCGTGTTCACCAACACGATTTGCCCCTTTTTTTTCGTGTTGCACAGCACGATTTTAAAAGCAATGTATTTATACTGCCTGCAGCACGTCTTTTTCTCCGGTCGGGTCGAGGAAGACCGGAAGCTGTGTGGTTCATAAAAACATGTTCTTACTCAATATCAAGCCACAGTTATTGCTTTTATTTGAAATCGTATAATTTCGGACTTTTGTTGCCGTCTGTGAGGAAAATAAATGGGGCTCAGAGCCTCAGGATACTGAAATCTGTATTTTTTAAATCTTTTTTTCCTTCTAATTTGTTATTCTTTTCAAAATAACACACTGTTATTTACTCACCAATAACACACAATTATCCTTGCTTTTATTTATTGGTTTAATTCCATAATCTCGGGCTTTTTTGGCGTCCGTCAGGAACTGAATTTCAAAATAAAAATAACCGGAAACAGACGTAGGCATTTCAAGCGATTACCCAAGATCCTCAGCTATGGTTTTAAGCTCGTTTATTGGATGTTTTAGCCGCAATGCCTGCTGGGATTTGGTGTTTATATGATATGAAATCCGGAAAACATTTTAAAAGAATAAAATAATACTTAATTCCGAGCGCTCTTGCTTTTCTCTTTGAAAGTCATCACATAACGGCATTGTAATACACGGTTCGGCTGCATTGTATATTACAGATCTGCCGTAGTTCTTTATTTATAGAGATGAGAAGACCTTTGGAAAAACTGAGAAAATGCCACCGAAACTGAATACTTGACGTGGATCATAAATATATTCAACAATTAAACAACATCTTCAATTTCTCTTCACACAATACGTCTCCTTGCAGTATCAACACTAATTCGGCTGACTTTTACATTTGATCTAATTCACAGATTAGTGAAAAAAGTGTCCTACACTAATAATACAAAGTTATTATGGCTGTGTGTACCTTGTGTGCACCGCCTAGTGGTTAAAGCACGTTATTGAATTATTGTGTTTTATTTGATTAAAAAAATATTAAGAGTACATACTTTCATAGGGGGAAAGTATAAATATAGAATATAAAAAATCAAGAAGATACTATAAGTGATCTCTACAATAAAACAGTTTAGTGCAGAATGTACAAAGATATTAATAGGAGGAGGTGCAAAACAGAAAAACGAATTAACCTTTATTTAAACATTAAATAACAGATTAAGGTCTTCTTTTAAATAAGAAAAAAACTTTGGGGGTATCTATCTACAGATAAATATTAAGCCTGACAAAGTACTTAACGTCTAATATATTGCTTTCCTGCAATGTTAACTATGTTGAAGCACTTATTTTAACTGATATTATACATATGAATTATACTCTTATGTATGTAGATAGAATAAGAAATGTGCAGAATATGACAGTTTAATGGTGGAGGTACACACATATTGATAGATGTCTTGTAATGCACTGTTGAGGCATTCATCCTACTTTGGAAGGTGCCGATCTCATTTCGGCAAACATTTCAGGGCTTTGTGGACTTAATCCATGACAAACTGGAGTTGAGACCAGGAGGCGGAGTCGCAGTCTTACACGCTTCTCTGCGCTCTCTCCTAGGCAGTCATCCATAGGAATCCCGAACCCAATAAAATACCCAATATTAGCGGTGTGTGTGTCTGCCCAAGGACAAGTTAAGGTAAAACCTAATAGAGGTGTCATACATAATAACCTAATCAAAGTAAATGTAACAACTACTACAGTGCAACAAAACAGGAATATTAAATGTGGTCTCTTAAACATAAGATCTCTAGCATCTAAAGCAATATTGGTAAATGATTTAATATCAGATTATAATATTGATATATGCTGTCTCACTGAAACTTTGTTGAGACATGAAGAATATGTCAGCATAAATGAGGCCACTCCACCCAGCCATATCAATACTCATATTGCCCGAGGCACGGGCCGAGGAGGTGGAGTTGCAGCCATCTTTGACTCAAGTTTACTTATCAATACTAAACCAAAATTAAATTATACCTCCTTTGAAAGTCTCGTTTTTAGTCTTACGCATCCGACCTGGAAAACTTTGCAGCCAATCTTATTTGTTACAGTGTACCGTGCACCAGGTCCTTATTCAGAATTCTTATCTGAATTCTCTGAGTTTTTATCAACTTTGGTTCTTAAAACAGATAAAGTAATTATCGTAGGTGACTTTAATATTCATGTTGACGATGATAAAAATAGCCTTACTGTTGCATTTAACTCTATATTAGATTCTGTTGGTTTTTGTCAGAGTGTAAATAAACCAACCCACTGCTATAATCACACTCTCGACCTTGTTCTGACTTATGGTATTGAAATTGAGCAACTATTAGTCGAACCGCATAATCGTGCTTTATCCGACCATTTCTTAGTAACTTTTGAAGTACTGTTACTAGACTACAAAGCATTAGTCAAAAGCTCCTGCAGCAGAAACCTATCTGTTAGTGCTATAGCCAAATTTAAGGAAGAGATTCCACCAATACTTAACTCGATAGCATGTCTGCATGTAAGGGAGGAAACTTATACAAAATGTACACCACCCCAAATTGATCATGTTGTTGATAGTGCTACAGATGCGCTGCGAATAAAATTAGACTCTGTTGCTCCTTTGAAAAAGAAGAAAATAAAACAACATAGATTAGCTCCATGGCATAATGCCGAAACCCGCAAAATAAAGCAAAAGTCGAGACAACTTGAAAGGATATGGCGTTCTACTAAACTTGAAGAATCTCA